CATAAATCAAGCTGTTTTGAGATATATACAATTTTAGTTGTATAAGTGAAGTTACACAGCACCAACTTGTAGTTTTAGATTGGCAATTTTACAGAATGATTACTGGTTGCAACTAATTTTTTGTGGTTAGCTAACCTCATACATCAAGATCATTAACTGATACCATAAATCAAGCTTTTAAACGACACAAACTATGGTAAATGCACTGAATTTTATCATACATTAGTAGTTTCTGTTTTTCATGCTCACTCCTCATGTAGTCTATAAGCCTTGTTCTTTTCCTATTGATCCTGCTGGAGTGGAGATCATTACGAGATTTTGTTGTTACGCTAAATTTAATAACTTGTGGATTTTCCTTGCACCAAAAAATGTTGTGAAAGTCATTGAAAAGATCAGGAGGGATTTTCTTTAGGGTGGGTGTAAGGATGGGAGGAAAGTGCATTGGGTTAGTTGGGAAAAAGTACGTAAAAGTAGAAAAGAGGGAGGTTTAGGGGTAAAGAATATTCGTCTGTTTAATCTTTCTTTTCTAGGCAAGTGGTGGGGAAAGCTTGCTAAGAGGGAGGAAGGGCTATGGGATAGGTTAATTAAGGAAAAATATGGTGTGGGGAGTGATAGCTGGATGTTTTGGGTGAGGGAGGGTAAAGGGACAGGATCTAGTTGGTGGAAGGATGTGTCGAGGATAGGTGTGTTGGAGAAAAATAAAAGAAGGTGGCTATCGAATGGCTTTGAGTCACCAGTTGGAGAGGAATGGGAAACGAGCTTCTTGGTGGGACTTATGGTGTAAGAAGGGTCTTTTAGCTCATAAATTTCCAAGACTTTATATGCTTTCTGCATGTATGAATTATAAGATAAAGCAAATGGGAGCTTGGATGGGGGATAGATGGTGCTGGACATTACCATGGAGGCGTACCTTGCTATCTAGGGAATTGCAATTGCAAGCAAAGGAGGAACTGGAGAAGGTGCTTGAATCAGCCAAGCTGCATTAAGGATGGAAGGAAAAATGGGTATGGAAATATGGCAGGGATGGTGGCTACTTAACAAGCTCCAAATATTCCATTTTTGCTTTCTCACTAGATGAGAGTAATAAGAATGTTTTTGAAAGGGTATGGAATCCGATTGTTCCTACAAAGGTTTGTGGGTTTAATTGGCAATTGCTTCTCAATAGATTGCCAACAAAAACCAATCTATTTAAGAGAGGTTTTATTAACGAGGCTGCAAAATTGGGATGCTGTTTTTGCTGAGAACATGCGGAAGATGGTGATAATTTGTTTCTTGCTTGCAAGATCACCTCAAAATTTTGGAGTAGATGCCTTAAATGGTGGGGAGCACAAACTGTGTTTGTTAGTAGTGTTTGGGATGTCTATGTCTACCATGAGAGGATTGCAGTTTCCACATGAATGAGGATAGTGTGGAAGGTTGTGCGGTTTGCCTTGACTTGGTCTATATGGCTTGCTTGAAATGAGATTTTGTTTAACCACAAGGAGGTAGATGTAGACAGGATATTTGATTTAGTACAAGTAAGCTCCTTCCATTGGCTGATAAATAGAGGGAAAGCTTTTAGTTTCTATTTTTCAGATTGGCTCCTCAACCCTCATCTATGTATTGTTAGTGCTTGACTATGGGTTCTGTGTAGTGGGACTATAGGTACTGCAATTAATTATGTATATGGTTTGAGTACTCATTGTACTCAATGATAATAACAGTGGTGTTTTGCCTTTCAAAAAAATAAAGTAATAACAGTGGTGTTTTGCCTTTCAAAAAAATAAAGTAATAACTTGTGGATTTTCTCCTGGTTTTACAAGACTGGATGAATGTCCTATCTCTACCTCATGTTAAGGCATATCTGGAAATGGATGGCTAGGCTAGCGACATCCTCTGTTTCTCAAATTTGCAAGCCACCCTGTCATTGAGCTGTTGATATAAACAGAGTTTGAAGTACGACTGAATGAACACAATATATAGTATTTAGTGAGAAGAGTTTTCCCTTTCACCACCCTAGGATAAAGTATTTGTTACGGATATTTTTACCGGGTTTTAATACCCATTTATCCAGTAGTACTAAGTAGAATGATTATTCTCCATTATATGACTTTAGTAAGGGATAATTAGAACTCAAATTTTTTGTTAATTCCTTGCAAGTTTGCTAGTAAATGACAAAAGATGTATAATTAGTGAAACGATAATTTAACACTTATCAGTAGTTTTTAATGTACTAAAAGTAGGTGGTTTAAACTTGTGAGGGGAAGGAAGGTAGGGAGGGGAACACAAGTTTGAACTCTTGCCATTAGGATGGGTTTAAAAACCTTTTATATTAGTAACAAAATCACTTTAACTACCAAGATTCCATAATACTTCACCATCAGTTGAGATGTCTTTATTGATGGATTCTTGCCATTAGCAATAACCATCACTTATTTATTATTTGTTTGTATGCTAAATTTTAATTGGCATGTAGCCACTGACCCAATGTACTCAAGTCATTTTTTTAGGTGATGGTACACTTAGACATTAGTAATAATGGCTATTTTTTTGTTCAAATTATAAAAATAAAGTAAATTTGACTAGTTTCCTTAGAAAGTTAGAAATATGTAAACCTTAATAATGATAACTTTCTACTAAATTATATAGGATGAACGGGGAATAATGTAAAAGGATACTTAGATAGCAAGATTTAGTAATTCCCAGTTTCCTAATTTTTTCAATTTTGATTTTTTTTTTAATTTGATCAAAGAATAATCACTAGGTACCACTAAACAAATAAGCCCTGAAGTTAATCGTTGGCAAAATCTAGTGTTGAGTCTTTGAATTTTTTCCATTATTCCTCACATAAGCCCTTAAAGAAAAAAAAGTGGCATGTAAGCCCTTAAACTTCCCAATCTTAACAAATTAACCCTTATGTTAACATTAACAATCACAATTATCACATGATATTACTTTGCCACATCAACACTTAGGTGTAAAAAGAATGCCAGAAAAAAAAAAAGACTATATAACTCACATGACAACATGTGATTGTCGTCATTGACATAAGAGTTTATTTTATAAGAACAGGACATTAAGGGGCTTACATCCCACTTTTTTCCTTTGAGGACTTATAGAAAATAGAGAAAGTCTAAGGGCTTAATATTAAGTTTTGCCTTAACCTTTTGTGCTTCAAGTGGGAGATGAAGAGGGATTTTCTTCGTCATCCAAAAAAATTGCTATTGGCACGTTAGACTACAGTAATCCCACATTCTGAATTATGTACAGACAGACTACATATAGAGAGAACAATGCAAACCTTTTGCTCGTAATAATATTATTGCCATGGAGCTTGTTAAATTGACAAAAAAAAAAAAAATCCATTTTCACATTCATTTCATATATAATGTTACAGAGCATAGAATACATCCCAGAAGGCATAAGCTCGACATATATATAACACAAACACAATACTATTACTATATGTACATATATATATATATATATGAACAAGCTGGCCATTTATTTTATTACTAATTAACATGGGATTCCATGTTTATGGCCATTTTAGAGTACGTAGTAACTTCTTCATGTTCAATCCTCCACATTTAGGGTTCAACCCTCATATGGTTTAGGTATGTTTTCCCATCGAGTTTATGGGAAAGGAGCCCTTTAACATATTCCTCCATCCCCATCCTTTTATATAATGGTGGTTTCTGTAGATTTATCAGACTTGGTAAAGGTCCCACCTCTACCTCAAATTTAGGGTTTATGAAGAAGGCTATGGACATCCTTTCTTTCTCTGAATGGATTGCTACCCTATGCTCAATGCTGTGATATATCCCATTACTTAGAATCTGAAATAAACAAATATATCACGAGTGAAAATGACTTAAAGAGCTAGGTTTTCTCAATGAATTTGATTGAACCTACATTTACGGTGCATTGTGGTTTGAGTAAATTAACCCTCATATGCAATATTATTAGACAATAATTATTAAGGGAAGTGTGAGGCAAACCTCGAGAACGTCTCCTACATTGACTACAAGAGCATCTGGGAGGAAGCTGACGGGATACCATATTCCATCCCTTTTGATTTGAAGACCATCAACTCCATTAACTTGGTTGAGGATGGTGATGCCAGTGGCATCTGAATGAGGGGTAAATCCAATCACTAGCTCTGGCTGTGGGCAAGGTGGATAGTATGTCATCCTCATTGACTGCATTCCATCTTCAAAAATCTCCTTCATCTCTCGTACATCAATTTTTATAGCTTTTGCTATCAACCCAAGGAGTTCCATGCCAAGTTTTTGCAATTCCAACATGTAGGTGTCCAACGTACTCCTGAAAATATATAAGAAAAGGATATTAGATATAAAAGAAAAGCAATACAATCGTCTATGAACGGGATAGTTTACAGGTACTTATAAAATTAGTTAGACTATATATTGATGTTATCTCTATAAAAGCAATACCAACGATCCTGTGGGCGGGGTACGTACCTTAGGGATGAAGGGAGCTCCGGGAAGAGGTATGGCTTCCTCCTATAAATAGGGTTGGTTAACATGTAGAACCTATCAGCCCAGTCAAGCTTTCCTTCAGGTCTGGCGCCTGAGGAACCATACCCTTCAACCTCCCCTGCCCTTACCTTGTATTTCATTTTCTCTTCCAAAGGAAGCTTAAAAAATCGCTCCATCTCAGGTTTCAGCTTTTCCAGCAGCTCAGTGCTTACGCCATGGTTCACCAACTGCGCAACAAAATTTCTAAATTCTTATCTTATTCAATTTTTTACTTATTAATTTCTTTCTGTAGGAAAGAAACATATTATCGAATAATACTAATAATATTAAATTTACTTTCTTTTAGGAGTAATTTTTTCTTTTACTTTCTGAACATGATTGAAAGGTGTTTGAGGAAAAACCTGAAAGAAACCCCAGTGTTGGCAAGCAGACTGCAACTTGTGTAGCTCGAGATGGAATTCCTCCATGGAAGCAAATCGATTCATGTCAATGGTTGGTAAGAGTTGATTGGCATGTGGGAGTGGGGTAGGAGGTTCTTGTTTTGAGAGAACATAGTTTTGTGGGAGTGTTTTCAATGGCTCTTGCAGGAGCTCTTGAATACTAATAACTGATTGGGAGCTCACGAATACATTATTTTTAGGTGTTGCCATACTTGCAAAGTTTGAACTGTGGCCATGCCATCTTGAAGATGATTTATTTATAGAGACGGGAGAGTTGAAGGAAGTGAGAATTTTAGAGAAAGAAAATGAAAGTCTAACAATTTCACGTGGTGGTAACTATGATTAGAATAGAAACACTTTCCAATAAAACACATTTTACAATATTTTTATTAAAAAATTATTTTTTAATCTAAAATTAAAAATTAAAAATTTAAAAATATAATTATATATATAATATAAAAAAATTAATTAAATTACCTATACTTGTATTATATTTTAATAATTAAATTAATTGAGTGTTTTTTTTTT